ATTTATAAAAATAAAATTATTGATTAAATTTACTAAATTTCTTTTTTTTATTTTTTTAGGATAAAATTAACTCATTCACATTTAATATGGCAAAAAAAGATCAAACTCAATTCTTTCAACGTATTATTTTAACAAATGAAAGTGAAAGCGATATTGAGGAGTATTCAGAAGTTGCTGAACAATTATTAGATGCAGTAAATTTAAGAGAAAAATATGTATTCCATCCAAAGATTTGGAAAGCAGATGCAGTACCAGGAGAAAAGCCACCATATCATCCATTCGAAGTATCAGAGGATCAAATGGTTACATCAGATCACACTTATAAAGTTGTAAATGGTGTATATTTTGTTTATTCCAACGAAAATGAAATGAAGAATGAAAATCCACTCTACAGCGTACCACACACTCTCAGCTCATACTATAAAGATATCAACAATTTAATGATGTTTTGTTCATACGGTCCAGCCAAGACATTTACATTCAAAAGATTACAATTGTTGGAATCAAAGTTCAACATGCACATCCTTTTAAATGATTCTCTAGAGTTATTGCAACAAAAAACTGCACCACACAGAGATTTTTATAATGTCAGAAAAGTAGATACTCACGTTCATCATTCATCCTCTATGAATCAAAAGCATCTCTTAAAATTCATCAAAAGAAAATTAAAAGAACATCCAAATGAAATTGTAATTTTCCGTGATGACAAATATTTAACACTTGCCGAAGTATTTAAAAGTTTAAATTTAAATGTTGACGAACTAAGTGTCGATACTTTAGATGTTCATGTAAGTAGTTTTTAAATTTTTATAATTTCTTTTTTTAAAAATATGCACTAACTTTTTTTTTTTCCCATAAAAAACTTTAGGCTGATAATAATACTTTTCATAGATTTGATAAATTTAATTTAAAATATAATCCATGTGGTCAAAGTAGATTAAGAGAAATCTTTTTGAAAACAGATAATTTAATTAAAGGAAAATATTTGGCTGAAATTACAAAAGAAGTATTTGAGGATTTAGAGAAATCAAAATATCAATCAGCTGAATATCGTTTATCAATTTACGGAAGAAAGATGAGCGAATGGGATACTTTAGCATCATGGGTAGTCGATAATGAATTATTTTCAACTAAAGCACGTTGGTTAATTCAAATTCCAAGACTTTATGATGTATATCGTGAAACATCAACAACAACATTCCAAGACTTTTTAAATAATGTTTTCCATCCATTGTTTGAGGTTACCAAAGATCCATCATCACATCCAAAACTTCATAAATTCCTTCAGCAAGTTGTCGGTATTGATTGTGTAGATGATGAAAGCAAATTTGAAAAGAAATTCACAGAGAAATTCCCAGTACCAGGTGATTGGAACAGTGAACATAATCCACCATACACTTATTATCTCTACTATCTCTATGCAAATCTTTACACTTTAAATAAATTTAGAGAAGAAAAAGGCTACAACATCCTCACCTTAAGACCTCACTCTGGCGAGGCTGGTGAAGTTGATCATATGGCTGCCGCTTTCTATTTAGCTCATGGTATCAATCATGGTATCAATCTCAGAAAAACTCCAGTACTTCAATATCTTTACTATTTAACCCAAATTGGTATAGCAATGTCACCACTCAGTAACAATTCATTATTTTTAACATATCATCGTAATCCTTTCCCTGTTTTCTTTGCCCGTGGTCTCAATGTTAGTATTAGTACCGATGATCCATTACAATTCCATTATACCAAGGAACCATTGATGGAGGAGTACTCTATTGCTACACAAGTTTGGCGTTTAAGTCCATGCGATATTTGTGAAATTGCTAGAAATTCAGTTTTACAAAGTGGTTTTGAACATAATGTAAAGAGTCATTGGTTGGGTCCAGATTATGCTAATTCACTTGGTAACGATATCAAAAAGACCAATATTAGTGATATTCGTGTTTGTTTTAGAAATGAAACTCTTACTGAAGAACTCCATCTCATCCTTAAATCACTTCAAACTCTTCCACACTTTAAAGATTTAAATATTAGTTTCCTTTTAAATAAATTACCAAGCGAAATTACAAGTGGTAATGAATATAAATTTAAAAAGGGTCAATTAAAATTAGCTTCTTCAAATAAATCAATTCGTACTTCTTCAGTTGGTTCAACTCCAAATTCAAATACTCCAACCTCCTCAACTCCAACTTTAAATTCTTCCCCAGGCGCAATCGTTCACTTAATGAAAACCAAACCATATAATCCACCACCACTTTCTTTAAATGTCTTTAAAGGTGAAAGTCAAACAAACATAAACCAAAATCAAAACAATAGTTCACCAACTGTTGTATCAACTCAACCAACTACAACTCCAAACCCAATTGAAAATTAATTTATTTAAATAATAAAAAAAAAATAAAAAAAAAAAAAAAAAAAAGAAAAAAAGAAAAATATAATAGTTATAAATATAATATTTATAATAGTGTATTGTAGTAAACAATAAATTTAGAATCATTAATTATTATACATAAAATTCTGCTTTTAAAAATTATTTCTTTTTTTTTTTTTTCATTCTGTTTTTTTTCTTTAGTTTAAAAATTTTTTTCCAAATTTTTTTTTTTTTTTTAATATAAAATAAAATCATTTTTTAATTAAATTAATGGCAATAAAAAGAAATAATAACAATAAAACAATTAATTTAACTGTAGAAATAAAAAAAATAAAAAATGGCAACAAATAATACAACTATTGGTATAATAGGTACAACTGGAAGAGATAAATCTCGTCCATTAAACAAAAAGCATTTTGAATTTATGGCAGATGTTTTAGAACAGTATTTAGAAAATCTTTTTAACGAACATAAAGAAATCGAAAGGGATAATGTGACACTATATTCGGGGGGTGCGGCATGGGCAGATCATACAGCAGTAGATTTTTTTTTAAAGAATTCAGAAAAATGTAAATTGGTTGTATATTTACCTTGTCCAATAGTAGAAAAGCAATTAGATGATGGAACTAAAGTATATAAATTTGAAGACAATGGTACCAAAGGAGTTTCAAACCCAGGAAGAACAACAAACGGATATCATGAAAATTTCAGTAAACAAATTGGTAGGGATACAATATTAGACATTGTGAAAGCAAAAGAATTAGGCGCTATTATCGATAACAGTGTATTAGGTTTTAAAAATAGAAACACGTGTATATCAAAAGCAGATTTCTTAGTTGCATTCACCGGTGCTCCTGGTAACGCACCTCTAGGGGGTGGTACTCTTGACACATGGAAAAAATCAAATTCAAAATATAAAAGTCATATTACTATACCTGAATCATTCACAAAAATTAATTAATAAAATTGTATATTAAAAAAAAAAAATTAACCTGTTATGGTAATTCAAATTTTATAACTTATTTATAAATGCAATTGATTTATATTTAATGGATTTTATTTAGATTAAATTTACAAAAAGTAAAAACTTTTAATAATTGTCGTTTGGTGTCATGAATGACCAAAAATGTACTCATTTTTTTGTTTTATTATAATTTTTTCTACAAAAAAAAAACATATATTGTTAATAAATGACCACACACACACACACTTTCTATATAAATTTTTTCATTTCATTAATATTTATGGCGAGTGGTGGTGAGATGGAAAAGGGGGTCTCTGAAAGCATGAAAATTAAATTTTTTAATTTTTTCAATTTTTTTTATTTATTCTTTTTTTTTTTTTAATTTATAATTTAATTATTTTAATTTATTTTTCAAAATTATATTAAATTATTTTTATTTTAATTTTTTTATTGTTTTTAATTTTTTTAATTTTGTTTATTTTTCACATTCAAATAAATTATCAGATAAATATTGTAAGTAAAAAATAACAGTAAAAAAAAATATTTTAATAAAAAAATTAACTAATAATTTTTTTTTTATAGAAATTTTAAAATGTTAACAGTACTTATTCCATCAAGTATTAAGAACTATACATCAAGTACATTTGTATCTCTTGGTCACAATTACTTATTTAAAACCTTTTTACCACAAATTAAAAAAGGTCAATTAAAAGTAGAAATTGTTGACGAAAACTATCCAAACTATAAAACAAATGGCAATCCAATGGTATTTGGTAGTCTAGATAGCGACTATGATTACGAAAATGTAATGGTTACATTAACTATTAAAAATCTTTATAATTTTATGATTAAAAGTAAGTAATTTTCTAATATTAAAAATAATTTTTTTTTTTCTTATATTAATTTTAATTTAATTTTTTTTTATTAGTTTTATTTAGCCATGATATTGGTTTAGGTGAATCATTTATTTTAGGTGATTTCGTTGTTAGTAATTTAAAAGAATTCATTAAAAGTATGTTTTATATATAAGAAATACTATTAAATAGTTATTAATTAATTTTTTTTTTCTATAGTTTTCCTTCTTAACTTTGAAACAACAACTGAAAATAAAAATAAATTGTTTACATCGATTAATGATAACATTAATCTTTTTGTAAACTTCCTTTATAACAAATCAGTTGATAATTCAAGAGATGCTATTAAAACCCATTATAATATTAGTAATGAAATGTATGAAATAATGTTAGGTCCAGCCATGTGTTATTCAAGTGGTTTATTTAAACACAAGGGCGAAGATTTATATGCTGCCCAAATGAGAAAAATACATACCTTGCTTGAAAAATCAAATATTTCCAAAGATGATCATATTTTAGAAATAGGTTGCGGTTGGGGAACATTGTAAGAATCTTTAAACATATATAGTATTTATTTATATTTATTAACAATACCTTAAATTAATAGATTAATAGAAGCTGCTAAAAAATATGGCTGTCGTGCTACTGGTATTTCAATTTCAGAGGAACAGGTAAAATATGGTAGAGATTGGGTTAAAAGAGAGGGATTGGATCACTTGGTCGATCTCCAAGTTTGTCACTATAGAGATGTAAAAGGCAAATACTCTCGTATTGTTTCTGTAGAAATGATGGAGCATTTAGGTTCTGAACACCATGGTGAATTCTTTAAAATTGTAGATAATCTTTTAGAACCAAATGGACTTTTTGTATTCCAAGTCATCACATGTAGAGATAAAGATTATGAACATAAGAGAATGGGAAAAGGTAATTTATATTTTATTTTTAATATATAATTAAACATTTTATTAATTTTTTTTTAATTTTTAGATGTAGGTTTTATTAACAAATATATTTTCCTTGGTAGTGAGTTAGCATGTGTCACTACCATTGTTAATGCCGCCACAACCCATTCAACATTGGAGCTTCAAAATGCTGATTCAATTGGACCACACTATTCATACACTTTGGATGCATGGAGGGAAAATTTAATTAATAATTCAGAAAGGGTAAAACAATTAGGTCTTGATCAACAATTTATTAATATGTTTGATTTCTATTTAAGCTCATGTTCCGCTTGCTTTGAAACCAGATATATTAATGATTTCCAATTTGTTTATTCTCGTCCTTTAAACACCAAAAATTTAAAAACTCAATTTTATAATTAAATAATATATTTTAATATAATTAATAACAAAAAAAAATAAAAAAAAAAAATAAAAAAATAAAAATAAAAAAAAAAAGTAAAAGTAAAAAAAATAAAAGCCAGTTATATTAATATATTTATATTTATATATAAAAAAGATAATTTTTTCTTTCATTTTTTATTTATTTATCCTTTAAATAAATATTTTCCCGCTTGGGTTTAAATTTTTTTTTTTTTTTTTGGGTTATTTTTTTTTTTTTAAACAATCTTAAAATTTTCTCAAAAAGTAATAATTTTTTTTTTTTGGACATAGAGACATTATGGCACTACATTTTGTTTCTAAAAACGTTTTTGCATTTTCATGATGTTATAGGCACGGTTCTATAAATATACAGTGCTATTCTTAAACTTTTATAAAAAAAAAAATTATATAAATTTTGAAAAAAAAAAAAAAAACTTATACTAATTAGAGTTAATAAATAAAATAGAAAATGAAAGTAAAAGATTTAAATATTGTAATTATAGGTGGTGGCCCAGCAGGGCTATCAATGGCGAGATTACTTCAACTTAACGATTTTAAAAATGTAATGGTAGTAGAAAGAGATATTAACCGTACTATTAGAGTTGGTGGTTCATCATTAGATTTACATTCAGATAGGTAATTAACATCAAAAATTAACCATTATTTAATTATTATGTATTAACTATCATTTTAAAGTGGTTTAATTTTTATAGAAAAGGCGAAACTAATGAACGAATTTTTAAGAGTTTCAAGACCAGAAGGTGAATCTATTACTATAGCAGATAAAAATGCTAATATAGTTTTAAAAAAACCTCATTTAAAAATTGCAAGTAAAAAACCGGAAATCGATCGTGGTGTATTACGTGACCTTTTGGTTGACTCATTGGTTGAGGGTACAATCAAATGGGACCATCAATTTGTATCATTAAACCAATTAGACAATGGAAAAACTGAAATAGTTTTTAAAGATGGGAAAACAATAGTAGCCGATTTAGTTATAGGAGCAGATGGTGCAAATTCAAAAATCAGACCCTATGTTACAGATATGAAACTAAAATACTCTGGTATCACCTTGGTAGAATTTGAAGTTGAAAACCCAAAACAATTATGTCCACAAGTTTACGAATGGGTAGATGCAGGTTTATTTTATGTTCTCGATGATGAAAAAGGGTTTATTGTTCAATTAAAGGGTGATGGAAATTTAATTATTTATTTATCATGTAAAAGAGAAGGTAAATTTTTTTAAACTTTATTTACTTTATAAAATAGTAGTACTAATATAAATATTTAATACCTATTTATTTAGAAAATTGGATTAAAAATTCAGGGTTAGATTTTAAAAATGATTTAGAATCAGTTAAAACATTTATTAAGAAGGAAGTTCTATCAGATTGGAACCCAATTTTTCATAATGTTGTAGATAATGCGACCTTCTTTATTCCAAGACCTTTGTTCTCTATACCATTAGATCCAATGATAGATTGGAAATCAAATAAAAACATTACATTAATTGGGGATGCTGCCCATACAATTGTCCCATATGCTGGCAAAGGTATCAATAGTGGAATGATGGATGCTGTAGAACTAACAGAATGTTTAATAGAACCCTCAGATATGCAATTATCAGAAAGATTAAATAGATACGAAGAAAAAATGCACACAAGAATGTTAGAAGTTGCAACCGATAGTATGGATGCACAAGAAATAGTGCATAACAAGGATGCCAATACTCTATTAGTGGATAGATTTTTAGGTTACTATAAATATGTTAAAGATATATTGCCATACTTTATATATTCCATAAACTATATAACTGATTTATTTGGTTTTTCAAAATAAAGTATTTTTCAAAGTATAAATAAAATTTTATTTTTATCTATCTTTTAAAAAAAAAAAAGTTATAAATTATTTATTTATTTTTTAAAAAAAAAAATTATAACCATTGGATATTATTTCTTGTTTATATTGTTTATATTATTATTATTATAAATTATTAAGTATTATTTTAATTGTTTTTGATCATATTTTCAGAAATTTCGTGAACAGCTTTAACAAAAGACTCTGGACCTTCAATTGGATGAGTTGGGTGCATACCATGACCTAAATTTGCAATATAACGTTTAGTTCCAAATGATTTGAGCATTTTTTCTGTTTCTTCTCTAATAACTTGATCACCACAATATAAAACACATGGATCTAAATTACCTTGAAGTGAAACTCTATCACCAACCATTTGTCTAGCTACAGATGGTTCAATAGTCCAATCTAAACCTAAAACATCATAAGCACCACTCTTTGAGAGATCTTCTAATGCGAAATTTGAACCTTTAGCAAAACAAATTAATGGAATTTCTGGATGAGCTGCTTTAAGTTCTTTACCAATTTGAACAAGATATGGGAGGCAAAACTCTTTAAATAAAGCTGGGCTTAATTCATTTGACCATGAATCAAAGATTTGTAATGCTTGAGCACCTGCTTTAATTTGTCCTAATAAATAATCAATACAAACACGTGTAATTTTTGAAAGGAATTCGTGTGCTTCTTTTGGGTGTTTATATAACCATCCTTTTGATGTGGCCATGTTTGAGCCACCACCACCTTCGATACAATAAGTCATTAAAGTCCATGGTGCACCTGAAAAACCAATTAATGGAACTCTTCCTTGTAAATTTTTTCTGGTTAAAGTTAAAGCATCAAAAACATAACCTAATTCTTCATTAACATTAACTGGATATTTTACTCTATAATTTTTTAATTTTTAATTTTTTTTTAAAATTTTATTATTAGCAACAAATGATAATATTATAACTATAATTATAAACTGGATATCTTACCTTGATAAATCTGAAATTTCTTTAACTGGATTTGGGAAATGTGGACCTTTACCTGGAATCATTTGAACCTCTAAGCCCATAGCTTGTGGAACAACAAGAATATCACTAAAAATAATTGCTGCATCTAATGGGAATCTATCAAGTGGTTGTAATGTAACTTTGCATGCTAATTCTGGTGTTCTACAAACTGAAAAGAAATCGACATCTGCTCTTACACTCTTGAATTCTGGTAAGTATCTACCTGCTTGTCTCATAATCCAAATTGGAACATATGGTACATCTTCACCTTTGCATGCTTTTAAAAAAACATCATTCTTTAATTCTGGAAATTCTATTTTTTCTGTCATATCGAAAATATATTATATATAATAATAATGATTATTTAATTTAGAACAATAAAAATCAAAATCACAAAAAAAAAAAAATAAAAAAAAAAAATAAAATTTAAAAAAATAAAAAAAAATTGCATATCTTTTATTAAAATATTATTTTCGTAAAAAAATTTAAAATTTTTTTAAATTTTATGTTTTTTTTTATTTTTTATTTTTTATGTTTATTATGTGTGTTAAATAAAATATAATGTTATATTAAATATTTGGTTTTTGTATATTTTATGATTTTATTTTTTTATTTTAATTAATTTAATCCAAAAAAAAAAATAAAAAAAATAAAAAAATTATCTAAAATGGGAATAAAAAAAAAAATTCTCACATCCATACTAATCAAAAATTCTTGGAACAAATAAACGGAATTCATTTTATTTTTAATTTTTTAAAATAATTATTTTTTTTTTTTACAAATTTTTTTTTTTTTTAAATGCCATAACATATTTAACAAATATAAAAATAATAAATATTTTAAATAAATAATAAAATTGCAAATAAAAAAATAAAATAAAAGCAATGGAGTCATTTGATGATATAGAATGGGAAGATGATGAGGGCAATGTCACCAACGACAGTATAACAATTTCCTCAAATAATGATACAAGTTTCCAAAATTTTAGATTTGACGAAAATAGTTTAGAATTTGAAGATGATGAAGAACAAGGAAATAAAGAGGAAAACGAAACTTCATTTTTAAATAATAAAAAAGATGAAGATGAAAAGGAAACTGATGATGAAAATGCAATGTGCGCATTAATTTTTTTTTTTTTTTTTTTTTTTAATTTAATCAAAAAATTTCATTTATTAATTTTTTTTTTTTTAATTTAATTTTTTTAGAGAATTCGAAATAGATACCAATATTTACAAAAAAGGGAAACAAAAAAAGATTATTAAAAGAGTAGATGTAAAAGAGAAACGAAGCTTTCTTCATCTTCATAAAGCAACATTGGTATTGTATTTGGCAAGTTTTAAATACACTGCCACAACACTATCAAATGAAAATTTAAATTCAATTTTATTATCAATTATACCCCAAAGTTTAATAAAAAAATATAAAAATAGTTTTTCAGTTGATAAAGCAAATATAACAACAGAAACCACAAAAAATTCAAAAAAATCGACAAGATCAAAAATAACAAATGATTCCCATGATTTAAAAACCCCACAAAAAGAATGCTTTAATGAAATTATTAGCTGGTATACTGGTACTTTTAAGTTTGACGAATCAATCCCAAATGTTATGGAGGAAAAAGAAGGTGATGTAAAGTCTTCAAAAAGAAAAGTAAACACTAAAGATAGTAAACCCTTACCAAAAGTATGTATTTTTAATTAATTAAAACAATTTAAAATTAAATAAAATTGACATTAATTTATTTTTAAAGAATTTATTATATAATCAAATATTAAAACAAATTAATCAAAGAAAACTTTCAAAGAAACTTTATGTTGAGTTGTTTTATATGGTTTGCAATTTATTAGAGTACGAGTGTAGGTTAGTAAGATCACTAAATACTCCTCCACCAGTGCCAGTAACACCAAGCAAAATGAAAAGAATTCAGAGTGCCAATTTATCACCGGCTGCATCAAAGAAATCAAAATCATTACCAAACTTATCAATAAGATTAGATGAAGAAAAAGAAAAGATGAAAGTTAAGAAAACAACTACTACCACTACCACTACTGCAATATCACCTATAAAGAAAAAAATCAACGAGGCCAAAAACAAAGGTAGAAATACCGGTAAAGCTAAAAAAAAAGAATACAATGAAAGCGAAAGTGACAGTGATGAAGAGGAAAATGAAAGATTTGAAAAAGAAGATGATAGTAATAAAATGATCACCACACCAGTTACCAAAAGACAAATGGCACTCCAGAGAAATAATAGCCCAGAGAAAAAACGACCAAATTCAAAGAAAAGAGTAAAAAGTGATACTGATACTGAAGAATCTGAAAATGAAGATGAAGATAAAAAGAAATTCAAAAGGTCATCATCTGAACCAATTTCAAAATCAAAAAATTCAAAAAAAGATACTATTTTATCAAAATCATCATCAACTCTATCAAATACAAATAACAATTTTGAAATTGAAAATTGGTTAGAAATATTCGATCACGATGAAAATAGATGGATAACCATTGATATAATAAACAAAACTATTGATAAGGCAGATGAGTTTGAAAAATATGAAGCTCCATTTTCATATGTTATAGGTTATAATACAAGTTTAATGAAAGATATTACATCAAGATATACAAATAACTATATTGGAGCATCACTAAAAAGGTTACCAACTGCACAAACAAATTATTGGGTCCAATTAATAGAAAATATTTTCAACGATAATAGTAGTGAAAACAATGAAGACTCTGATTCATCCGCAATAAAAAATAAGCATATATCACCTGAAAAAAGGAAATTGTTAGAAGAAATTATTAAATATGAAAGAAAAGAAAAAATTATTAAAGAGAGTAAATTAGAATTTCCACAAAGCTTTGCGCAATTTAAAACACATCCGGTTTTTATTTTAGAAAAAGATATTCCCAAATACTCATCCCCCGACCCAAATGAAAAGCCTCTAGGTTTATTTAAAGATGAACATAAAATCTATCATCGAGATCAAATAAAAGCACTTCATACATCTGATAAATGGGTTCAATATGGCTATATGGTTAGGGATGGCGAGCAACCAGTCAAAGTAGTCAAAGGCCGTTCAAAATCAAATCCAACCTCGCTGCTATACGGTGAATGGCAAGTTAACGTATACAAACCTCCTGTCATTGTCGATGGTATAGTTCCAACAAACTCCTTTGGTAATGTCTATTTATTTAAACCAGAGATGCTACCTATTGGTGGTGTTCATCTTAAAGGTGTAGGTTATGCTAGAGTTGCTAGAAAATTAAAAATCTCAATTGCACCTGCGGTAGTTGGTTGGGACGTCACAAGTCGTCGCTCTTATCCACTACTTGATGGTATTATCGTCGCAAAAGAAAACAGTAAAAAGCTATACAAAGCCTGGTTAGCTGAATCCGCTGTAAGAGCTGAGGCTAATCAAATAAAAAAACAAGAAGAAATTAAAGCACGTTGGAAACGTTTCATGAAAGGTTTACTAATCAAAGAATATATTCAAAAAACTTATAGCGCAGATGGCAACGAAAAATACATTAAATAATTTAAAGCCAATTAATGATGAAGAAAAAAATCAAGATGTTGTAAATATTATTGGGGTAAATAATGAAGACGAAAAAGAAAAAGAAAAAGAAATAGAAAAAGAAAAAGAAAATTTAAGTTTTATTAAAAAGAAGTTAAGTAGTTATAAAGAACCAACTGTAAATAAATCTCCACCAATAAAAAAGAAATTAACATCACCATCAAAGAATAAAAAACCTGTAAATAATAGAAGATCACCACAAAAGAAAAAACAAGTACTTAGTTTCGATTCGACTGATGAGGAAAAGGAAAATGAATCAGATAAGGAAGAAACCAATGATGAAAATATTAACAGCGACCAAGAAAAAGAAGTTTTAAATGTTATCTCAAAACCAATAACAAAAAGACAGCTTGCCCTACAACAGAAACAAATAAACAAATAAACAAAAAAACGAATTAATCCTTTAAAAAAATTAATTTAATTTCTTATATTTTATTATAGATTATTATTTAACCTTTATTATGAAAATAAATTTTCTTTAATGAATTTTTTATTAACTACCCTTATATAGTTGTTAGATATCTCGGATTTTAACATATTATTAATAACGTTGGATGAAATTTAATTAATATAATAAAGAAGTAGTCACACAATAAAAATTTATAAAAGTTAAATATTTTGGAACTAATTAACCCCCACCACATTATAAACAACTTTAATTATCTTCAAATACTATATAATAATAGACATATAAATTATAAACCTTCATACCTAAACTGTTGTAAATAAATTAAAGACTCTTTTAAGAAAACGTAGAATGAAACCATTTTTTCAACTTCAAATATCTTAATGAATGTTTTAAAATATATAAAAATTATAGAAAATCTCAGGAAATATCAAATATAAATAAAAGGTAGTCTATTTTCCATTAATACATAGGTTTCATAAAAAGCTTCATACATTTCGTTATTATTGTTATTATTATTATAAAATATTAGTAACATTTATCTTTTTTAATAATTATAGATCAATAAAATATTAACATTAATAAAAAAAAATTTCATAATTATGGTGTAAAAACAATAAATAAAAAAAAAAATATTTATGGGCAAAGAAAAATATACTTTATATTTTAAATAATAGATTAAATTTAAAATTGAAAAACTTGTTTAATTTATATAAAAAAAATAAAATAAAACAAATTAAATTTAAAAAAATGGGAAAATAAATCAAAGATTAAATAAATCAAATTATACTTTCTATATGCATAATGATTAGGGTTTTTTGACCAGCTTAAAAGAATAATATTAAGAAATAATTATTTGAATAAAAAAAAAAAAAAAAGAGAGAAAAAAAAATCATAATTTCGTCCAAACAATTTTTTTTTTCCTCACACATTTTTTTTAATTTGCACACTAAACGATAAATATTGCCAACACTAATTCGTAATCAAGAAGAGATATTAAATCTTTCAGAGAAAAAGTTCTTGTGATATAAAAATTTATTAATTATTGATTATATTATTTGAAAGAAAAAACAGCTGTTATCTCAAGATCTAAATCTGAATTTAAAACGAACGATAATTGGCTTATATATTTTTTTTATATTTTGTTTGCGTATGTTTTTTTTTTTAAGAGAACGAGTGATATATTTTTAAGAAAAAAAAAAAAAAAAAAATTGAGATTTTTTTATTTAAGTTTTTTTTTTTTTTTTTTTTTTTTTTTTTTAAATTAAAAAACCTTGGTAAACCCCACCCCCGTGGTTTATCCCTTTATATTTTATCCCCAAAAAAAAAATTTTTAAACCAAAAAGAAAATTTTTTTTTCCATTTTTTT